TTTATCACGTTGCTTAGTCTTTACTTCTGCCATTGGCCAACCCATTCTAGAGTCTTCAATTATTCTACTAGCCTCGTCATTTCCTTTGCTTTAGAGCTACCTTTCGGTCCCAAGCCTTCCACTAAAAAACAAAACAACCCTCTTAGTTTTTTCTAATTCTCGAGCAATTCTTAAATCTTACGTTACACTCTCTCTGTCTCTCCAAGGCATTATAAAATTAAAAATTGCACAACTATAGTTCAAAATGAACAATACAAAAAAAAAAATGAACGATTCCAAGCAACGCAAGTGCAATACGTTAATTTAATGGATATTTAAAGTGATAATAAAGATGAGTTGTAAATTCAAGGGTTGATTTATTTTTTATGAATTCCTCAATTTTGGTATGAATGATTTTCTTTTGACTGAACAAAAAAAAAAAATTAATCGAGATACATATAAACTGACCCGAATATTCTTGACCATTAAAAAAAACAGATAATCAATTAATTCCACAATATTGTCGGGTCAGATGAATACATAGAAAATAAGTTTCAACATTTATTATATAATAATGCATCTTCAAATCATCACATCTAGTTCATATAATTTCAAAACCAACCGACTTTTACAGCATCTCTATCTTGCCAATAACAACTCATTGTCATACATGTCAATGTGGACCCCAGTTCATACCAATGTACTAGCTTTTTTTGGAAAAAAAAATAAAAAATTGCTTGTGGTCCTATATCCAATGGATCCACCCTACCCTTCTGTTATTCTGAATTGCTATGGGGTTGCTATCTTCTGAACTTATTCTAAGCTGTGGTCCATGGCAAGGCAACCCAAAAGACCCAACAACCTTATTTCTATGATGCTCCACTGCAATTTGCATGTTGTCAAGTGAACAAACCTCTATGCATTGCACAAGATTTATTTCTTCATTCTTATGTCTTTTGAAAAAAAAAAAATCAATTGTTGTTAGATTAACTATAAGGCCTAATGTGAGACATGATAATAACAAATGATTTTCGAAGGCTAGTAGAGCACATGTAGTGTATGCATGCGTTCGAATACTCTGAAACTAGGTCAAACTTGATATTGTCACATTTTATTTTGAATTTTTGCCCATTATAACAATACAATAAGAATCGAGTGGTGAGAATTCAATCACATACAATGCACAAACTTGAAGGCACACGAAAAAGGTACAATTGAGATAGCTCCATGCTCATTGTTTGATTCTCGTTGTGAGTATATAATGGATCAACTTTTACCATCCAATTTTTGGTCCAATTTCATTGGATCCAAATTTGTCCACATAGGTGGTGCATTGGAAGGGAGGTTTGTTGATCACTAGATTATGTATATATAGCAAAACTTTCTCTCTCTTTTCTGTGCCATAATTGCCATTATTATCTTGGTAGGGTTTAGGTGCAGGTGGATTGGTACTAGTTGTCCATTGATTACCCTTTTTCCTTCCAAAGAAGAGGCAGTAGGGACTACATGCGGTTGTTTTGATGATACATAGCCTATTCAAAACAAAAGTCGAATAACCCTTAGGAGGGTGGTTGAACGGTAAAGTCTGTCTATTTGTAAATAAAATATTTTAATTTGATATTTTTTAGTTTTTACACTTTTTAGGGGTCAATCATCTTTATTACTCATGAGACATGTCCTTAAACTAGATAGAATTACGATAGTCGACTCAAAGTTCAAAGAAATAATCGTTGTAAATCTGGACACGTTATAACAAAAAAAAAACAAAACAAAAGTTGAATAACAATTAGCATGAATTATTGCACTTGAGAACCTCAAAAATACCAAAAAACGACCATGCATGCATTACTTTTTTGTTTTTTTTTTTGGGGTGGGGGAGGGGGGGGGG